CAACTAATTCTCCCGCAAGAATTTTCACCTACGGACTTGCAATGTCCGGTTAGGTCTATCTCTCTTATTATTCGGATCTTTACATATGATAAATCCAGCAATATTACCTCTAAGTATAGGAATAACAGGCTCTGTTTTTGGAGCTGCGAGTCTTTATGCTATGTATAAACCTAAAAATTCTTTATTAAGTCTAGGTAGTAGTTTATATGCAGGACTTTTTGGATTAATAGGTTTATAATTGGCTGGATTAATAACTTAATTGGCTATTGGACCTAATTTATTCACTTTTATGTGCCATAGAGCAGATTGCTTTATTGGAATAGGTATATTTACAGCTTTTATAGCTTATGATACTCATGTTGCTATGATGGCTTATGAAAATGGAAATGCAGATCATTTAGGAACTTCTATATCTTTTGCTTTAGATTTCTGGAATGTTCTTGTTAGAGTAGCAGAAATGATTGGTATTTTTACTAGAGATTGATTATAATTATAAATTAATTTTTATTTATTTATGAATGTATGAAAGTATAATTATAAAAATTATTTTTTATTTGATAAAAAATAAATATAAAAAAAGATCATAAAAAAAAAAATTAAATGAATATATAAAAATATAAATATATATATAAATATATATAAATATATATATATATATATATATATAAATATACTATATTTTATTTAAATGTTAAAAATATTTTATTATTTCTTTATTTTATTAATTATTATATTTTATATATATTTTTAACAAGAGATTTATTTTTTCTATATATTAAATATTATATTTATTTTTATATTATTATAAATTTAATTTTTTTTTTTTTAATTATTCTTAAAATTAAATATATATATATATATATATTTAATAAGTCATTTATTTTAATTTATATTTTTATAATTATACACTTTAAGAACATATTTTTAACTGAAATTTTAAATTTTTTTACAATACTATTAAAATAATAATTATTTTAATAATATTAAATATATTAAACTTATAATTAAGGAAATTTTTATTCAAAGAAGAACATTTATATTATATTTAAGAATTCAAAAATAGAAATGAAAAAATTTATTGAAGAATTAGATTATAAAAGTAAAAATAAATAATTTTAAATAATGCATTTAATATTTAAATAATTATTTTTATATAAATAATTCGTAATTAAATTATACAAAAACTCCATTAAATCTCCAAAAAATAATAAATAATTTTTTTTCTAGAAAAATTTCTGAATAATGCTTTTTATATCAAATAAACTAATTTATTAAACATTACTAAAAAAATAATAATACAATAATAAATAAATTTATCATTTTTAATTATGAAATTAAAGTTATTTTTATTTTGATAAAAAATGCATTTAGTAAAATAATTGTTTTTAGTGTATTTTTTTTTTTTTTTAAAATATAAATAAAATCTTTAAATTATTTTTTTTAGATGTAATTTTAAATATTATATGTTATAAAAGACTTTTTATAATAAAAAGTGGATTAATTATTTAAGAAAAAAAAAATTTTGAAATGATTATTCTATTTCCTTTTATATGCTTTAATTTTTACAAATGAATTAAAACTATAATTGATATTCAGATTTATTAAAAAAATAAGAAAATCTAAAATAAAACTTTAAGTAATAATATACAATAATAACTAAATTAATATTGATTATAATATACATTATTAATATATTAAAATTGATGCATTTGATTAAAATTGAATCTCTCTATAAAATATAAAATATTTAAAATATCAATGTTATATAAAATATTTATATACATTATATTTTTTTCTTAATACTAAGATAATAACTATTAAATATGGAAATATTATTTTTATAACTTTTATTAAGAAAAATTATATTATTTTGTTTTGTTTTGATTTATTGTATTATTTTTAATTGTTCTAAAGAAATAATACAATAATTAAGCCTATTAATTGAAAGGAAAAAAATCGGATAAGGTTAAGAAATATAATTAAACGGAATAACATATAAGAATATATATCATATAAATAAATATATGTTAAAATATATTTTATATCTAATAAACTAAATAATAATTATAATTTTAATAAATAATATATTTGTTTAAATGCTTTTAATGCAATTCGATATAAAAATAATTTAAATATTATTTTATTCAATTTAACTTTAAGTATTTAAATTTTTGAAAAAAAAAAATGAAATCAACCTATTATAATAATTACAATCAATAAATTAATTCGAATAATAAAGTTAAAAAAACACAATAGAGTGAATTCGTTAAAATAAATAGAAATTTATATTATTTGAAAAAGTTTTTTTTTAAAAAAGTATATAAATATTTATTTTTTTAAACTTGATATATAAAAATTATAAATAAAATAAATTTATAATAACTATTAGTTAATTTTATAGCATTTTAGAATAAAATTTTTATATTGTTAATTAATTATCATATTATTTTTAATAAATATGATTAAAATTTCTATTACAAATCAAAAAATATATTTTTATATTAATTAATAATTATGTTTTATTACTTTTATATTTTATAATTAATCATATATTTATATTATATTAATTTATTATCTTTTATCATTATCATTTTTATTTATTATTTATTTATTTTTTCAAAAAAAAAAAATCAATCGAAATAAAAGAGGCAAGAAAAAAAATTTTTTATGGCTTTTTTTTCTTTGATTTATATTTAAAAATAAAATTACAGAAAAATAATAAAAAGTAAAAATGGTAAAAAGTGTATTGAATAAAAATATTTTTTTAATTATTTTATTTATAAAATATTATATATATATATATATATATATAAAATATATATATATATATATATATATATATATATATATATATAACAATTTAATTATAAATAATTTTTTTTTTATATTTAAACATACTTAGACTTATATTATAATAATATTTTTTATCTTTCTATTTTTAATGAAAAATATATATTGATTTTTAAAAATATCATATCATATTTATATAAGTTATTTGATTTTAGTGATTAAATTTATATTTTATTATAAAAATATAAAAAGTTTAATAAATTGATTTAAAATTGGAAACATGTATATAATTTAACAAATTAATTTTTTATTTTTGCAAAAAACGTAAAATAAATATATATTTATAAAAACTAATTTTAAAAACAAAACAAGTGAAATCTTTTTGTTGATAAATAAGATAAACTAATAATATCATATTTTCTATATATATTTTTAATAATATGTTTAATTATAAATAATATTACGCAGAATAAAATGTATTTTATATAAATTTAAATTTATTATATAATAATATTATATTCTATATTTATTTTAATAATAATTATATAAATAGTTCTCATAAATAATTCTCAATTAATTTATAATTTTTAATTAATTTTTAATTATTAATAAAAATATTTAAAATACGCAATTTCAAAACATCATTTATATTGAAGTTTATTTAATTTTTTAGTTTTAGTTAGGTTATATCACATTTTAACAAAAGCGTTTTATGAATATATTATATCTTCATATTTTTTTTAGAAATAATCAAAAAAAAAAAGTAATTAATTGATCATTAAATTATTTCCTATAATATTAATTTTTATAACCCCTAATATGCTTTAAAATATATATATATATTTCTTTAAAAATATTTTTTATAATTTATTATTAGAAAAAAATATATATATATATATAAAAAACCGAAAAAAATTATCTTTTGTTATTTTAAAATAACTTATAAAAAAAATTAAAAAAAAAAAACACAAAAAAAAAAACTTATTTAAATTTCATAGAAATAAGACTATATCATTAAGTTAAATTATTTTATAAAAAGCAAATAATAATAATATAAATATAAAATTTATTTTATAATTAGTTTTTTTAATTTCAAAAAAAAAAAAAAAAAAAATTTAAAACAAAACAAAAAATAATAGTTTGAAATGGAAAATTAACTCGAAACTAACATAATAATCAAATAAATAGAAACTAAAACTATTAAAAATAAACAAAGAGAATTAAAATAATGGACAGTTGAAGAAGACCAACTCCTTATTATCTTAACAAAAGAGCTTAATAAAAAATGGATTAAAATTGCAGAAAAAATACCTGGTCGAAACTCTAATTCATGCTTTTGTAGATGGAGAACTATGAATTCAATTAAATTTAAAAATCTATGGAGTAAAGATGAAGACTAAAAAGTAATTAACTTAATAGATCGATATGGAAAAAATTGGAACAAAATAAGTAAGCATTTTGAGGGTAAATCTAATAAACAAATTCGTGAGAGGTATATCAATAGACTTGATCCAAACTTAAATAAAAAACTTTGGACAAAAGAAGAAGATACTATAATTTTAAATGGATATAAAGAATATGGTTCTAAATGGACTTTTATATCTAAAATGATAAAAGGAAGATCAGAGAATATGATAAAAAATAGATTTTATAAATATATATAAATAAAATATAATTTAGATGTTTATAAAAGCGAAAATAAATCTAAAAATAATAGTATTTCAAAATAAACGGAAAAATAATAATAAACTTCACCAAGAAAAGAAAAAAAACTTATGGATTAAATATCTTTGTAAAATAGTGAGACTAAAATTCTAGATACTAAAATGGATATGGAAAAATCAGATTAAAATAATGATTTATTTGGATATATATCTAAATAATAATCTATTGTAAATAATGCTTTTAAAAAAATATAAGAACTTTTAAAAAATAAAAATAATACTGAAAAAACTAAATTAAATGAAAAATAAAAAATCTAAGATAATTAAAAAACTCATTTATAATAATAATAAATACAATAATAATATATTTCGCAATAGTAAAAATAGTATTAACTGTAATAAATATAATATATATCATAAATTTAATAAAATAATAATAAAAAAGTGCAGTAATAGCAGTAATAGTAATTTTTTCCTGTTTAAATTTAATAATTAACATAATAAATTTAATAATTACCATAATAAATTTAAACTCAATTATAATAATAATAAAAGCCTAATGAAAATTCGATTTAAAAAAATATTTAATTATATTATAATATATTATAGAAGTTAAATTTAGAATAATAATATATGCAATTAAATTTAATTAAATAATAATAATATTAATTGCTTATAAATAAATAATAAAATTTTATATCTTTTTAAATTTGTGATGAACATCGTCCTATTTTGAATAATAGTGAATTAAATTTAAATAAAAATTAAAATTTAAACCTATTTGCTTAATAAAATTTATAAACTTAAGTATTGAAATTATTATAACCTAATAATTGAATAAATAAAAAATAATGTAATAATTTAACTCTAAATTGGAACAAAAAAAATAATTAATTTTAATTTTTTATAAATTATTTTAATTATATATATATGCATGTTAATATGTTTTTATTATTTTAATAATTATCAATTTTTTATTAAATAATAAATTAAAAAGAATTTATTCTTATTATTTTTTTTATAAAAAAAAAAAAACTAAAAAATTAATATTAATAAGTATAAAATTAAAAAAAATAAAAAATTATAAAAATAAATGTCTTTAAGAACAGGAAATAATAAAAAGCAAGGTTAAAAATACTAAAATAAGCATGCATTTAAAATAATATTTGATACTTAAGCAGTGGTAACACATTAAAAAGTTTGCTTAGATTATTTATGCTAAAAATGTATAGAAGTTATAAAATGGAAAATGTAATATAATAAATATAAGAAAGCAACAAGTGAAAGCAGATGTTCTAAATGCCAATAAAAAAATATTTTTAAAAGTTATAGACATTGTTGTGATGTATGTGCTAAATAATTAAAAATATGTGCCAAATGTCTTTTACCGACTAATAATTTATCCGTAAATGAAAAAGATCTTAAAGTGAAATAAGAAAAAGAATAAAAAGAAATGGAAGAATATTTGACTAAATTAAGAGAAAGAACAAGAAGAACATTAATTAGAAAACATCAAAATAGTATATATATTAATTTTATAATAAAAATTTATATTTCATTATATATATTAAATAGATCTTGTATAATGGAATTCTATAAAGAAATGTTTTATTGATTCAGAAACAGGATAAAATTTAGATAATTTAAAATTTAAATAAGGATTAGAAAATGAAGATAATGTCGAAGAAGGAGATTAATGTGAAGAATTTAATAATGATGATTTTGATGCATTAAAAGAAGAATAATAATAAATAAAAATTAAATAAAAAAAAATGTTAGAATAAGCTAAATAAATTAGTCTATCAAGTGATTAAGAAAATAGTATAGATGAAGAAGATGATATAGAAATATGATTAAAAAAAATAGTTTTTATATACTAAAAAATAAAAATCTTTAAAATACATAAAAATTAATTTTGATATTGATATATGTTATAATATTTATTAATAAATTAAAAACTATAGATAATAAATTTAGTTTAATGTAAACTATAATAAAGGAAACATATATATGTAAACATATTTATGAAAACAAAAATATGAAACATAAATATGTAAATAAATATATGTAAACTTATATAAATAAATAACAAAAATAAATAAATATAAAATATATATATATATATATATATATATATATAATTATATCTCTCTATATATATATATTAATTACTATCTTATATATTGTATTAATATTATTTCTTTTTTTTACAAATATTTTTTTATATACTAATTATTTCTAATTTTTTTTGCCAATTTTTTAAAAAATATTTTTTTTTTTTATTATATAATTAATTTTTTATATTACATTAATCTTATTTATATAAATATTTTTATATTTATTATTAAAAATAATTATTATTTGTTTATTGATAATGAATTTATATAAAAAAAAAAAAATTAAAATAAATAAATTATTTACTTTTATTTTTTCTATTTATTACTAATTTTTAATAGAATTTTATCTTAATTTATAAATTATATATAAAATTTTTTAAAATATCTTTTAATTTATAAATATTTTTAGTGATTATTTTTAATATAAAATATAATTAATTTTTATTCTCTAAAATATTTTTTTTTTTGATTAAAATATATTTTTTATAGTTTTCATAAACATAATTTTTTTTAAAAATTGCTTTGTATAAATTAATAAAATTTATATATTTTAATTAAAATTTAATAATTGTTAATTAAATATATTGTTTTTTTTATAAAAAATATTTTATATTAATTTATTTTAATTTTTAGTATTTGTTAATAAATTTATTAAATTATAAATATTAACTTTTTTTTTTTATAAATATTTTAAAAAAATTTTTAAGATATTCCTTCAAAAAATTATATTTTTTTTAGAATTTTTAATTAAAATTTGCTTATATTGTTTTAATAAAAATGCTATTTTTTTTTTACTTCTAATAAAAAATAATGAAAGTAAAAAAAAAATATTTTTTAATATTTTATAATTTTACTTTTTTTTTTTATTAAAAAATTTATTTAAAATTAAATCAATAATCAATGTCAAATTTTAAGTTCAAAAAATATGAGAATAAAATAAAAAATCGAAAAGTCCTTTTTCTATTTAAAAAATTAATAATAATTATTAAAATAATAAACAAACATATAAAAAAGAAAAAAAAATGTTTGTCCTAAAAATCATCAACATTTTTAAAAGCATTCCCAAAAACATATTTAACGACCCAAGTTCCTATGAATTCTTTTGTGTTTTTCCGAAAAGAGACAACATAAAAATCAAAGCCCTCATATTCCGAAGACTCAGCAATGAATGAGCTCGTAACCAAATCGGGAATGTCTGCTTTTCTAACCCGAGTATATAAAACAACAGGTTTAGGTATTTTAACGGCTTTAACGAGTAGTCATTTAGCAGTTCAATCTGGTTTAGCCTTCACTAATCCTTTATTATGTGGTTTAGGAGGATTCGCAATAGCTTTAGGTGGTATAATCGGTACCTAATCATATTCTTGTTAATAATATTAAACTCAAATAAAGGGTGAAACACATCTAGTTTCAACTAATTCTCCCGCAAGAATTTTCACCTACGGACTTGCAATGTCCGGTTTAGGTCTATCTTCTTCTTTATTATTCGGATCTTTACATATGATAAATCCAGTTATATTACCTCTTAGTATAGGAATTACAGGCTCTGTTTCTATAGTTGCCAGTCTTTGCGCTATTTATGAACCTAAAAATTTGCTATTGAGTCTAGGTAGTTGTTTATATGCAGGACTTTTTGGATTAATAGGTTTTTAATAGATAGCAATAATAATTTAATGTGCTATTTAATCCTATATATTCATTTTTATATGCTTTAAAATTGATTGTTTTATTGTAACGAGTATTTTTACTGCTTTTATAGCTTATAATACATATATTGCTATTAAGGCTTATGAAAATGGAAATGCAGATCATTTAGGAATTTCTATTTCATTAGCTTCGAATTTCTGGAATGTTCTTTTTAGAGTAGCAGAAATGATTGGTATTTAAAGAAAACATTGATTTCATTGTTAAATTGATTTATTTTTGAAAGTAAAATATATATTTAAAACTTATTTTTTTTTGAATAAAAAAAAAAATTAAGATAATGGAATTAAAAATTAAATTTAAATATATATATATATATATA